AAGGGTGAACAGGAGTGGCTTTCCAGCGCCCTTCCGAAGGGACTTTGGCTCTGTGGACGAACGGAGGCGCTTGAACTCCCTTCCTCGTCGGTTTGTCGGCCTCACCGAATTCCTCCGAAACAGCCGCATGAAGCAGAAGCCTCGCCCTCCTCGCCGGCCTGGGCGCCTCCCGCGGGACCTCCGGCGCCCGGCCTGGCTCTGGAACGGGAAAGGGGGCGTTTGAGGGAAGCGCTTCGGCCGCCAACCCGGTCTCCGCATTCCCAGCCGGGAAACGGAAAAGGTGTCCTCTGAAGCCTCCCCACGTGGCGTCTTCAGTCGCTGACCAAAGCGTTAAAAGTTACAATGGGGTTGAGGACGACCTCAAGAGAGGCCTGAAATGTTACCCTTCAGCATTGTTGTTGATGTGGCCTCCAGTCGCTTCCGACTTAGGGACCTTGCGAATGAAGTTTCTAAAACAGCCTGACTAAAAGTTGAGGTTCTTTTACAGAACCTGTAACCCATATCATGTTTGGTCGTGTTCTTCCCCTGCTACCTTCACCGTTTCCTAACATTGTGCTAATGTGTAAATCAAATAAATAAACAGATAAATAATAGCAAAGTCACTGTCAAATTAAGACCGGAAGTCTTGTGATTTGGCAGAGCATGGTGTCTGCTTCCTCTGGCTCACTAGGAGAGGCAGGGTGATCTGAAGCTGGTCTCCTCAGGGCAGTGGTGAATTCATTTGCTCATGTTATTTATGGTTAAAAGTATTTTCCATATGCTTCTCCTGTGATACTGTTGTAGAATATTAGAGAACTAAACCTAACTTTTGTGATAGCTTTTACTGAAGATGCTTGTTTCTTTTTATATTTCTAAAATTATGATGCCTTTGCCCCAAACATCTTTTTTATATCCTCTCTTCTAGGTCGTGAGCAGTTTCATGGCTTGGGGTCTATGTACTGCCGAGGAGCAGCAGCTGTTATCCTCACATATGATGTAACCAACTTGCAGAGCATGGTGGAACTTGAGGACAGGTTCCTCGCATTAACAGACACAGCCAGTACAGACTGCATCTTTGCTATTGTTGGGAACAAAGTTGACCTCACAGATGCATATGCTTTCCCCCCTGAAACAAAAGACAAATATCAGTGTGAGACGCCCATCAATACTTCCATTTCTCCCAAGATGAAAAAACAAGTTCATATGGATGATGCCATAGTACTTTATAAGAAGATTCTAAAATACAGAATGTTGGATGAGAAGAATGCTCCAGCAGCAGAAAAAATGTGCTTTGAAACCAGTGCAAAAACAGGGTATAAAGTAGACTACCTCTTTGAAACTGTTTTTGATATGTTGGTACCAGTAATTTTGCAACAAAAAGCTGAAGGATTGCCACAAACTGTAGACTTGAATAATTACAAGACAACTAAAAACACACAGTTTGTCTGCTGCAGATAATTTTTTTCCACACTAATTTGAAGTAGGTGAAGGATGCAATGACAAAAACATAAAGATCAACAAGAATAGATTTTTTTAAACAGCTCTTCTGTGAAACTGGAGTTTAGTAAAAGAATGGAATAACAGGCAGCCTTAAGAGGAGGAGAGTATGCAATGGTATAGAAGTTGATTTTTAAGTAAAGCTTCCATGTATGACAGTGGTTTAAGATTTCTAAAGCTCATTGTGATGTTTTTTAATGGTTTATGTGTGGGGATAGGGAACAAGGGGACATGGGATAAATGGGGTGCAAATCAACATAAACAATTTAAAATACTCTTTCTTACCTGTTACATTTCAGATACATGACTTCCCTGTATTGCTTAGTTATGATATACATTCTATTTCTAAATTAATCCTAGGCTTTCTATTATCAAGTTTATATTAACTTGCATTCTGTTTCTGAGCCAGTCATAAAATTTATGCCAACAATCGTCATCATTCCTCTTTCTTGTCGGATCTAACCATTCTGATAATTTATCCATTTCTGCTATATCCAGAATTTTTGCTATTAACTCATTTTGAGATGGATTCTCTGGATCTTTCCAATGTGTTTAGCAAAGAGAATCCTTGCAGCTATCAAGATATGGATGGCTAAATATTTTTTCATTGGTTCTATTGATTCCGGAATTATGTTTAAAAAGAAGAATTCAGGGGTTACAATTATCGGAATCTCTAGAACCTGTTACAAAAAGCATTTGAACCCTTTCCCAATATTTTTTGGCTTTCCTGCATGATGACCACATATGGTAAAAAGAACCGTCTTTTTGTTTACATCTCCAACAAAAGTTTGAAATTTTAACATCCATTCTGACTTGTTTTGTGGGAGTTATCTTCCTGCTCTTTTTTGCATGTGACTTCACTATCTCTTCAGTAGTAGGATGTGATTTATGTATACCTTTAGGTAACAAGGGTTGCTAAATTCTTTAAACGTCCATTTTAAGGAAAAAGGCAAGTATATGGTAGCTGCTTTGTACACATGTCTACAAAATGAAAGTCTTATGCTCACAGCAGTTCTGGCTTCAAGCCAGTCCTTTTTCTTCCCTATCCTAATGGGTATAGGACTTCATCCACTAGTGGCAAGGAAATCAGAGTGTTAGGTTGTCATGAAGGCACCAAACATGATCCCAGTTAGGATATGATCGGTGGGAGTTCAAAAGTGGGTTTGTCTCTTTTAATGAAATAGACATGAACAGTAGTAGGATGGGAATGGATGCAAATAAGGGGAAACGTTTTGTTGAATAACCAAGGGAATTGTATGTCCTGAAGACTATCAGCCATTGATACCAGTCCTTGATACTATGCAATAATGCTATTGGGAAAAACATATGTTTTTTTTAAATGTGCATTAAAAAAAGATACTCAACCTTTGAAGATGACTTTTACCTTGCCAGGAATATGGCTTATTCGTTTTCAAGTTCTACAAGGGAACTTTTACTGAAATAAAATCCATTGGATAGCATTTATGGTAAGACATTTTCTAGAGAGTTTGAAATCAGTATCCCAGGTAACACTGCCAGAGCATCTCACTATTAGCATTCAGAAGCAGCATGAAATGTTTTGTTTTTTTGGTGCTTTAAATCTGTAATTGTTGCTGCTTTCTAAATTTTATGAGTTAATTAACAGTTAAAATCACTTTAAGCAAAAATATCAACAATTTCTGTAACTTATAATTTCTAAAATATTTGGGGCCAGTGTGTCTAAAACTTACTGATTTATTTATTATGTTTATATCCCAGATCTCTAATATATTTAAGACAGCATATGCATCTATCACCCCCTTACTTTATCATCAAATAGCCCTGAGATGGAGATGAGGTTGAGAGGTGTGGCTGAGCCACAATCATATAACAGATTACATGTTGATTTAAGCCCATGTCACCTGAGTCCAACATTCTACTATGCCAAACAGGAACAAGTCATGACTTTTGTCCTACATTTCAATCCTGTATTGTATGAAAATGCTCAAAATATATACACATGTATTTTATTATTATTCTGTTTAGGGAAGATTCTGGTACCAAAGAAACTGCTCTGAGCTTGGTGTGGTCAGCTGTTCCTTATTAAGGGTGATCTAGAGTCTGTCCTGCCACCTTCAGGACCTGTGGCAGTGATTTTCAGGTATTTTCTTCCACCTGGCCTGTGGTTCCTAAAAGCTTCCCTTGGTTAAAGGGAATCCAAAGGAATTCTCAGAACCTGGAGGCACGAGAGGAAACCTTTAATTTACCCAAATGGCCATGGCATGGCTGCAGCTGACGACATCACACAAATTATGTGATATAACTTGCTAAACAGGATTCCAGCCAATTTTTTATTTATGGTACAAAATAAAACTTCATCACAAGAATAGAGAACGAGATCTCATATTAAAGTGCATCAATACTTGATTCAGGGGTTTTGTGAGGCTCTAAGCAAAAGAGGAAAGCACTGCCTCATTGTAGTCAAATATTTACACCAGACAGCTGGCTAAGTTATGGTGTAATTCTAACTCTGCGCCATCTCTTTCTTCTGCTTCTCAACAATGGGAAAAGGTCCAGGGATGGAAATTGACTTGCTCTGAAATCCATTTATGTTTATTTGGAAGTCAGGCCAGCTTCAGTCACTGCAACTTGCCAAGTAGATATGCATAGAACCACAACTTCAGAATTGCACTGCTTTAAGAAAAGTCATGCATCTCACTGGGTTCTGACTTCTCCCTGTAATTTGCCTCACTTCCCTTTCAGTAGTGAAATTCTAAATTAGCCCCCCCTCATCTTTCTTACCACCAGGCAGGAATGATGAGAAAGACTGGCAATACAAACCTAAGTGCTTAGCAAGATATATAATATAATAGCAGTTTTGGACTACAGCCTGAATTGCTTCTGCAGCAGCTGCATGGCATGATCCCTGAAGTCATGCATCTACTGCAAGCATGACCTGAAGGCCTTAGGAATGGACCTGAACAGATAGGAAACCCTGACATCTGAGCATTCAGCCTGGAGGCAGGCAGTGCATCACAACCTCTCCCAATTTGAAGATACCCTTGTCTAGCAGGCCAAGGTGAAGAGGCAGTCACGAAAGTAGCAAAATCAGGGAGCTGGACAGGGGACAGATTGTATTTGTCTTCAGTGGGGAAGGGATTATCACTCTCAAATTGGCCTTTTTAGCCACACTAGATGCTGTTCCAAGTCCTCCACACAGAGGACGTTATAGTCTTGAGACTGAAGGATGCCTAACCTAAGTGTAGAAGTATAATTAGTGTATGAAAACATGTGGCCCTCCAAATGTTATAATCACAACTTCTGGTGTTGCAATCCAGCATCTGGTGGAATATAAATTGCCCCTCATGGTCTGCAACTCTCTTCATCTTGACAGAGGTACATCTGTTCTCTAGACTTAATTTAATACATTGGATAGTATCATTTTGTGGAGCTCCAGCACAGCAGGAAAGACATCATTGACAGTGACATATTCCTGCTAATTAAGGAGTATATGATGCATATGATGTTGTTTCATGAATTTTGTGCATCTTGAAAATGTAAAAGGAACTCTTTAATTAGCAGCAATTTGCTATTGCTGCTGCCTCTGGTGACATCTGAGCCAGGCCTGAGTCTCGATCTTGTGCTGGCCACCTTCAAGGCATAGAGCAGCATAGGGCACACAGTGGGGAAGACCAAAGATTTTATACAGAAATGTGGATTGGACTCTTTCCACAGAACTGTGTAATGCAGACATCCAGATGGGCACACCATATAGAAGCTGTGTAACTGATTTGGCATCGAAAATCTGCAGCGCAGCAGGGATGTAAGAGTGGCCCCACGTATGGTGGAA